AGACACTTCTGCGAAAAAGGAACTGTTTTCCACCACCACCAGCTGCCAGAAGATCGACCCTTTCGCATGGTAATGAGGAACATTCATCATGATGTCCCATCGGAGGATATTATTGAGTGCCAGCAGGAAGAGGGTCCCTGCGTTCTGCGCATCTATACCCCTCGCAATAAGGTAACACAGCTTCCGCTTAACATGAGGTTTGTGGACATCAAGAAGGTTGACAACAAAAAGCTTTTTAAGAACATCTCTGCTGTTTGCAGACACATAGTGACCTGGAAGAAGCCACGCCAACAATCTGGTCCCGTACAATGCAATAGATGTCAGGAATACGGACATACAAAAGCATACGGCACACGGCATTACATCTGCAGAGAATGCGGAGAAAACCACCCTACCCTGGAGTGCAAGCTTGGGAAAGACGACTCTAGGTGCTGCTTTCACTGCGGCAGCTCTCACGCGGCCAACTTTAGAGGATGCCGCAAATATCTGCAAGTCGCATTTAAGCAAAATACTCAATCAAGGCTCACAGCAGCCACAGAATCGAACACGTTTCCTTCAACCAATCTCTCACCCAACGTTGGTAAGGAATCATTTGCAAGTGTAGCCAGAAAAAACCTACCTATCATTCACAAAGTGATGGAAAATACTCCCCCTATCCTGCAGACGCGTCCACCCTCCTCTACCCTCCGCAATGGGAGCGCTTAAAATAGCATGCTGGAACCCCAATGGGATAAGCTCGAAAACAAACGAGATCATTGCATTCATAGAGCTTTATAGACATCCTTTTGTTGTCAGAAGTCCGTCTCTGTACGCGGTCCACCCTCAGGATCCCTGGATTCACTTTGCACAAAGCCGATCATCTGGATGACCGGAGACATGGGGGCGCAGCGATCTTCGTCAAGTCAGCCATAGCCCATCAACATCAACTCTTTCACTTTTTCGGAAGAGCACATACAAGCCGTCTCCATCGAGATATCTACAAGAAGAGGGAGGTTTAACGTTGCTTCGGTGTACTGCCCCCTTGCTTTCAGGTGGACGGAAGCAGACTTCACGACTTTCCTCTCCAATCTCGGAGATAAGTTTCTTGCTGCAGGTGACTGGAATGCCAAACACAGATGGTGGGGCAACTACAGGATGTGTGCCAGAGGCCGGACCCTCAGCTCTGTCCTGGCCAATGTCAATGTCGACATTGTGGCAACTGGAGAACCTCATGCTACCCTATCGTGCAAACGCCACCCCCAGTGCAATTGACTTTGGTATCTCAAAAGGATTCAGACAACAGCATGTCTCTGTCAGAGCACTCACCGAGCTATCTTCCGACCACCTCCCGTTGCTCTTCATAATAAACCAAGAAGCTCAATTCCATAAAGGAGTCCCCAAAATGCTACCTGCGCACGCAAACGTTGCCACTTTTAAGTCCTACATCAATGCTTACACCTTGCTCAACACACCAATAGCAACCTGCAGCGATCTGGATGCATACGTAGATAGCTTCACCTCCACAATTACTCAAGCCGCCCACAATTAGAGAGCTACGCCACCTCAGCGCCAATCTGGTCACCCACCTAATAGAAGGGCACCAATACTAACCCCGGAGGCAAGGGCACTCCTGGATCCAAAAAGGCACCTCAGAAGGCAATTCATTGTGTCAGGCGATCCTGCAACTAAGCAGCGTCTATCTAGCATTACTAATAGACTGCGCAGGTTGCTAGCGAAAACCCGCCAAAAGAACATCGATACCCTGCTGGAGGGAGCTGGCCCGGACAACTGCAGCGATTTTTGGATATGGAAGCTAACAAGAGGAATTAAAAGACAGCCGCTTGTACAATCCCCAATACAAAGCCACACTGGACGCCGCAAGAAGTCACGCTGCAGTTAAAGGCGCATAATTTAAAAAAGACTCTTGGACCCGATGGCATCGACAATCGAGCGGCCAAGGTTCTTCCACCCAAAGGAGTGCAAGCGCTGGTGAAAATTTTCAACGCCAAAGTTTCCCGAAAGTGTTCGAGCGGATTCTACTCAGCCGACTGTTGGAGCTACCACAAGTAGAAGGCAACATCAGTTCGGCTTCAGAAAATCCCATGGCTGCCCAGAACAAGTCCATCGCCTGGTCAACCTTTACACCCATGGACTAGAGCATAAACTGCACACTGTAGGCGTCTGCCTCGACGTTAAGCAAGCCTTTGACAAGGTGTGGCACGAGGGCCTTCTTTACAAAATCAAGGAACTTCTCCCTACGCCCTATTTCGCCATCCTGAGGTCCTTCATTGCCGATCGAACCTTCGTTGTAGCAGTAAGGGACTCACGATCCAGCTTGGCACACATTCACGCAGGAGTGCCCCAAGGAAGTGTACTTGGTCCGTTCCTATACACGATGTACACGAGTGATATGCCAGTTCCGTCGCCCACCACAGACGCTCGTATACTTCTGGCTACTTACGCCGACGACACGGCCCTGCTTGCATCCCACTCGTCTCAGCTGTCAGCCTCAGCTGTTGTTCAGGACTGGCTGAATGCGATGGAGCGCTGGACCAAGCAACGGAACATTGCCATAAATTGCAGCAAGTCGGCATGCGTCACTTTTTCCCAAAGACTTGTGATCGACATCGTACATACCTTCAATGGTGACACTATTAAAAACGCCACCTCTCACTGCTACTTAGGTGTACACCTAGATCACAGGCTCATATGGAACACCCACATAGCGGCGATCAAAGCCAAATGTGTTCGCAAACTACAAAAGCTCGACTGGCTCCTGGGATCCAAAAGCTTCCAGCTATCGACGAAAGTTTTGCTGCTCAAAGCAATCCTCACGCCAACCTGGACGTATGCAATCGAGGTATGGGGCACCGCATCCAAGCACCAGCTAAACAGGCTGAGTGTAGTGCAGGCACGTGCTGCTCGACGGGCATCCGGACTTTCCTGATATGTGACAAACCAGGCCATCCAAAACGACCTACGCCTTGTCCCGGTGGGCGACCTCCGAAACCAACACAGCCGACGGGCTAACGAGTCACCCAAATCCACTGGCTAGCAGGCTGGCCGACCCGCAAACTCTTAGGCGTTTAAAAAGATTTCACTCCAGCGATCTGTCTTCCCGTGTTGTTCAATAATAATGTAAACTAATGTAAATAACTGTAAATTATTGTATATAGTCTAGGCCCATATCCCATATGTACCATATTCACCCAATCTTCTAAGCGCCCGGTTATGTTCAAATGGTTCTGAACGATTCCCGCGACTACAATAAAATTTAACTTGTCTTAAAAAAAAAAAAGGTAGATCCCTGGCGGAATATAAATGTGAGGCGTGTTACGATAGATAGTAAAACTGCTTCCGCGGCATCCGAAGTTGCAGAACAGATAGTTAAGGTGGGTGTTGAATCTCTGTTAGGTCATTCGGAAATCATGTGCCTATTGTGCTTTTTTTTCTACTTTGACACTCGAGTTAAGCGGACGAAAATCATAGAATTAAGGCTTGATTATAAATTATACGACTTTTAATTTCCTAGGAATTTAAAGTGCTTTTCACTGCTATAATGGGTACCGACAGTACCACCGTAAGCACTCGCTGCCCTTGGCTCTACCGGCTTGTCTGTTGGGAATGAAGAAAACAAATAAACGATCATCAGCATCTACACGGGAGTCTTTACTGGGGCGGCGCTACAAATTCCGAAGACTCGCAACATTGTTGTTTGGTCATTGATAGTTTTCAATGCCGGAAAATGAAAAGCAGAATTTAATTATTGTACGTTGTATATTGCCGTGTGGCTAGCGGCGAAGAATTCTACCACAGTTCGTCATAGCTTGTCGTAGGAGGCGACTAACATGGCAGGGCGCCCCATCTGAGCTTGTCGGAGCTAAAGGGGTGGGTCACCGAGCCCACAATCTTCGGTGCCACGGGTTGGATAGTGTGTCCAAGACACTACCATTCAGGTAGGCCCCCTTGTGGGAGTATCGTGGTGGCTGTGGTTGATAACCATATCGCGGGTAGAGTCCTCAGACTCGACATGGAGTTGCGTTATACAACTCGGGTGCTGTGACCCATAGATCAGCAGAGGTGATAGATACACTTCGCCTCTTATCCAGAGGGAGTAGGCTGCCCGGCAAGCACTTACATGAAAGGTACCAGGCTGGTCGCTATGTACATAGCTATAGCTTCTAGTCTGGGGCGCTGGCAGGCGTACCATCCGTGCCCATGCACTATATATGTACCTCTTGTGGGTATATTCGAGTGCCGTGGTCGTAATCCCTTCAGTGTCGAATACGCCACGTAAAACAAGTTCGGAGAGATCCGAGATGCTCATTGTACGTTATATATTATTTATACTGCAGGCAGATGAAACTGGGATCAAAAATTGTGATCATCCAGTTTATGGTGCTAAGCAGTGACTAATAATATGGACAGAAAGTGCGGCCCAAGTAGACATACGCGAAGCTAAAGCTCTCGATAGCGGAGAGGGTGGCCCGACATAAGGATTGCGAAGCTAAAGCTCTCTTAAAATAGGCCCGTTGAAGTCGAGCGGCCAAGAAAAAGTCGGCTTGCGACCAACTAAGGCGATATATCCATACTTTAGCTTTATAAATAAACTATAACTAATTTAGCGGCTGCTGTCTGACTCAACAATAGTGTATATCGCTTTTTGTTTTCATATAAATTTAGAATTTATAGAATTCATACATTTAATTAAGTGGTAGTACCTATCCATACCACCTATCCATACCACCTGTATATATACATAACTCACAACTTTGGCTTGGTTCTTCATAAACACTTTTTCTGAAAAGGTACTACAAAAATATAATTTTTTTATAGGTAGTAAGACTTAAACTACTGCAGTATTATAAAAGTCTTAAAGCCAAATCGTCAAAATCTTTTGATTGTGGGAAGGAAATTTAACCAAATGAAAATTTGAAATTTTATTTTTTATATGTATTTGGGCCCTTTTAAGCATTTAGATATATATAAAATGTTTATCAAATTTTTGTTTCTATTTTTAGGATTACTGCTGTATGTGGAGATTTTTACATCGGAGGCAGACAGTTCATTTCTTTAAGCGATCTCGTAGGCTATTACACATCGTGTAGTGATTTACTAAAACGTGAAAGGTTGGTTATACCAGTAGCACCGCCAGAACCAGTCAATGACAAAAAGCGTGTCGTCGCTATTTTACCTTACACAAAAATGCCAGAGACCGATGAACTGAGCTTTCAAAAAGGTGATATTTTTTTTGTACACAATGACATGGGCGATGGATGGTTATGGGTTACCGCTCATCGTACTGGAGAGCAGGGAATGATTTTCCGAGAACTTGTAGATGATTTGGATGTTTCAATTGATCCAAATACAGTGTTTCCCTGGTTTCATCCAAATTGTACAAAAAACGAAGCTGTGGACATGTTGGTTAAAGGTAAGTTTAAAATAGTATACACACAAGAAAGGAAAGTTAATAATCAATCCACCTCAAAAATTTTGGAATTTTATTTCTTCAAAATATGTGACAACTTTTCTGTTTTAAATTTTTTTTGGTTGACCTGTTTCTAGAAATGCCCATGTAAAATGTATTTCAACAAGTTATGTTAAAATATAAAAAGGGAGTGTAAGCCTAATCAATGGGTCTAAAGAGGTTTCGGTGACGTGAGCTTAGTATAGACACTAACCATACAGCATATAGACAACCCATTTCATACAACGAAAATGGACGCAAAAATTTCTAGCGATAGGCCCCAGAGCGAAATCTTACTCTCTTTCATACGCTCATATTCTCATTAAATTCTTTCTGTTTCTTAGTCTCTGAAACGAGCGCGATAAAGAAGGTTGGTCTGCGCTTGGATTGATATTTGTATGTATGCATTTCACACGTTCACATACACGGGTGTATGTGTGCGTGCGATTTCGTTTCGAAGCCAGCGCACAAAATTTTGATTATTCTAACTTTTTAGGCTTGCTACCCTAAAAAAATTCGGGTATTCGTTATTTGGTGAGATGACGAAAGAAATTATATTATTTGTTATATTTTAATATTTCAGCATACATTTTACATTTATTCAGGAATAAGATTAAGTGTTAGCAGTAAAATGTTTTGCATGAATATATTTTTACGAATCGTTAAAAATCAATATGCTGAGATAGGAACATGGTATATTTTAGACGGAGTCACTTAAAACGTAGATTGCTTTTAAGTTTTTGTTGTTATGCATGTCAATTGTGCTGCATACCCTAACGGTGGCGTACCCTCACCCTACCGGACGAGGGGACCGGACAGCAACAAAAATAATTTAAAAATTTTATTTTTTTTTGGAACACTGGCTATTATTTTTTTTTCTTTTAAGGGGAGGGTAAGGTCAAATCGTGCGAAAAAAGCCATGTTTTTGTGATTTTTTTCCTGACGACACAGTTAAAATTTATTTATTCAACCAACGGTATATTAAAGTGTGACATTAGAAGAATGTTTAATAAAAATTTTACAAAAAAATATTTTAAAATATGGCAATGGTAGCAATTGTCCGGACGTGTCGCCAAAAAAAGTTGAATTGCGGTGCCCCTCATAACTCGGTGCTGGATCATTTGCAATCAAAAACTGAAAATTCATTCGTTAGATAATAGTTCGCCCCAGGTAACGCTGTAAAGGTTTTTTGAAAATTGCAATTTTTTAATTTTTTCGAAGACTTTGAAGTGAAAAACTTAATTTTTCGGGAAAATATCGGTTAATTTGACATTGCGAAATCAAAATTATGAACAAAAAAAAAAAAAAACTCGACAACGTTACCTCGTAAAATATGTACAGAAATAGTGTTTAAAATTTCAAAAGGATCGGTGCAGTAGTTTTGAAGTTATGAGGGGCACCGACTTTGAAAACGTGAGTTGTGGGAAAAACGCTTTGAAGTTTTAAGGGGTTATATACAGTTGTGATATATGAAAAAATCGATTTTTTTTTATTGCATATTCTTTAAGTATGTTCTATTGGGAATACTCTCACAAAAATTCATAACAATCGGAGAATTAGAACCGAAGCTGTAGCTATTTATAGCGCACTATCTGCATATAAAACTTGAACAAACTTGAAACTTTAAACGCGATTATCTCAGAATCTTTTTTTTGGGAAATTTCCTTTGCGGTGGACACGATTACTAAAAAACTACTAATCCGATCAACACCAAATTTTGACTTATTATTTATTATGATATTAGCTAGTCCGTGAACGAGGGATTTTCAATTTTTTTTGAAAACTCCTTTTTTAAAGCACAAAAAACGAAAATCTTATACCTTGAAAAAGTACATTTTTTGTTAAAAACGTCGCCATTTTTTTTGTAATCAAAATTTTTAAAAATCCCTCGTTCACGGACTAGACAACACAATACACTAACTAAACTTTTTTGAATTTTGGATTTCGGATAAACCGTTTTCGAGAAATCATGTCCACCGCAAGACACCATCGAAAAAAGACGATCCGGGAATTCGGCTATAACATTTTTGTTATGTAATATTTTTTTATGAAAAAATTTAATTAAGTACCCAGCAACATGTACTAAACAACGTCGGTGAAACATTTTTAATAAATATTTTCTATGGTGTCAAAAAAAATTCGATAAAAATCCATATTTTTGCGCGGTACAACTGTATATAACCCCTTAAACAAAAAAAAATCCAGTGTAAAACTTTTATAAGCAACTTCGTCAATAACTAATAACTTCGTCAATTTTACTTTAATTGACTTGAAATGGCGGACGAATTTTCAAAAAATTCGTGGATTTTCATTTTTGAAAATTCGTCCGCCATATTGAATTTGGGAAATCTGACTTTAGATTCGTAATCAGCGACCCCAAAAACCCCTAAGTACCCAGTTTCATGAAAATCCAAAAATTGTTCAAAAATTCGTCCGCCATATTGGATCCGCCATATTGAATTTTGAAAATCTGACTTCAAGTTCGTAATCAGCGACCCCAAAAATCCCTGGGTACCCAGTTTCATGAAAATCCAATAAATTAAAAATAAAGTCGCATACCTCCAAAAATGTAAAACTTTTTTTGAGGTTAGGAAGAAACGTACACGTGCAGGACCAAAACGGACTTCAGATTCGTGTTCAGCGGTCCAAAATACATGGGGATAGGGTACTCTGATCTCCCAACCCGGACACTTTTTTTTTTTTTGTGTGGCTGTGTAATTCATAAAAATTCATAACGATCGGAGCATTCGAACCGAAGTTGTAACTCAGAACACCGAACGCTAAACTACTCAAACTACTATTATACTACTATAATATACTCCAACGATCTGCGAGGAATTGAAGAAGAAGAAATCCTCGAAAGCCTAAAAAGGAGGAGAGCCAACCGAAACTGGACGAATAACCCTAACATTTGAAAAATTAGACCTACCGGATTAAATATATATAGGATACGAAAGAGTTCAAGTTCGCCCTTATATACCAGCCCCAATCCGATGTAACAACTTCTTACGTCTGGGTCACCTCCAAAAATTCTGCAAAAATACAGAGACCTGCTTTATATGCAGCCAACCTGCCCATATTGACATCATAAAGGGAGAAAAATGCGAGCGTGGAACATGCTGCATCAACTGCACCGAAAACAATATGCCGGACAATAAACACCATTCCAAAGACAGAAACTGCCCAGTTTTTCGTACCCATAAAGAAGTACAAGCCATCAAAACCCTCCAAAAAGTAGACACCAAATCGGCCTGGTCCATTTACAGGAAGAGAAACCAGCATGACGGATCCCTTTATGCATCGGTTGCAAGCTCAACGCAAAACAACATACCGAATCCACATCGATTATCACAGAATACCCCTTCGACATCAGCATCAACCTCCCACCGACAGTAAAAGACACCGACAGACCCATTATAAACAAGGAAGATGAAAATATGGTAATAGACTCAAGCGAAGAAAATATCAGTAAGGATTGGACAATTAGTAAAGTAAATATTCTCCCTAGAAACATAAGCAAAAAAACCGAAAGAAATCTGATTAACAAAGAAAAATCTAACAACACTATTATAACAAGATCTAAGTTTAAAAATATTGCTGAATTAAATAAGGACTAATCGTTAAATCTAAATAGTCACTAAATCTAGATACAAAAATGACACTTAAGGTATTAAAATGGAACATAAAAGGTTACATGAATAACTATAGAGAATTACAAACTCTTATAAAAAAAATATCATCCAAAAATAATAGCATACAAGAAACCCACATACAAACATTCACTTATATCCCCACCCAAATTAATTATATCCCAATTCACTATAACAGCCACTCTTCAAGATATGGTGGAGTCTCTCTGCTAATACACATATCAATACACTTTCATAATACTTCTGATAGTCCTATTTTTGATATTATTTCTACAAAAATAACTAGTCGACAATCACTCACAATCACCTCAGGATATATACCACCTCAAGTAAGCTTCAATTTTAACAACTTGTTGAATGAACTGCCGACTAATACCGACAACCTTATCTTAGGTGATTTCAATGCCTGGCATTCTAAATGGGGCTCGAACAATTGCAACAAAAAAGGGAACACTATTAACAAGATCATTGATACTTCCGGTCTAGTAGTTCTGAACGATGGCTCTGCCACTCACTTCAGCACTCACAACACCTTTACCCATATTGACATTTCACTCTGCTCTCCTAACCTTGCTCCATATGCAAACTGGAAAATTGACCAAGACCTCCATGGCAGTGATCACTTTCCCATTATCACTTCTTTGTTTCAAACAACCACCAACCAAAACACGGAGTCGCACCCAAAACGAAAATTCCTACAACAATTTGCCAACTGGGACAAGTTCTAGAAATTAACAGCAACATTAAATCCAAAGCTTCAACCCACTTCAAATGTAAACCAAGAAGCAGCTAACTTAAAAAAAATATTTTTACAAAGCGTTAATGAATCTATTACTAATTACTAATTACTAATTACTAATTACTAATTACTAATTACTAATTACTAATTACTAATTACTAATTACTAATTACTAATTACTAATTACTAATTACTAATTACTAATTACTAATTACTAATTACTAATTACTAATTACTAATTACTAATTACTAATTACTAATTACTAATTACTAATTACTAATTACTAATTACTAATTACTAATTACTAATTACTAATTACTAATTACTAATTACTAATTACTAATTACTAATTACTAATTACTAATTACTAATTACTAATTACTAATTACTAATTACTAATTACTAATTACTAATTACTAATTACTAATTAATAATTACTAATTACTAATTACTAATTACTAATTACTAATTACTAATTACTAATTAATAATTACTAATTACTAATTACTAATTACTAATTACTAATTACTAATTATTACTAATTATTACTAATTACTAATTACTAATTACTAAT